TTAAAATTAAAAACCACAAGGAATTTTCTGTCACGTATTTTATATTTGTTTATTAGAAGAAACAGTAACAGTTGAATTAATTATTAACGCTTGTTAACGGCTTCATTGTTGGACAGATATTTTAGCATATGTGGTAAGCAAAAATTACAATTTTGATTGATGTTGATGAATCGTTTTCTTCAACAAGTATGACTCAATGAAAAAGCAGGGATGAGCCTGCTGCTGCTGATTGAGTTGACGAGTGGAGTTTGTTTTTTTTTGTTTTGTATGAAATAAAAACTTTCGAATTTGATATATAAATCGATCGTAGGTCGTTTCGGAACAATTGTTTCAACTTTCGCGTTTTAAAAAGCGATTCGGCGCCAACGTTTCTCTCGATTTTAACGCAGCCGCGCTTGGGAAATTTTCATCGCGCTTTCTAGATCAATATTTGATTCCTAGAAGATTCGCGTTCATTGGAGGGGGATGACGGTGGTGGTGTGGAAGCTGACAGACTTCGTCATCGCCTCCAACAATATCCCGGTGCGCGGAAATCGCACACCATGGTGGCCGTAGCGATCTGCTGTATCCTCGTTCTTTTGGCAGTTTTTATCGTCATCATTATTGTTGTCGGTCAAACGATAGGTGAACATCCCCATTAATTGTGCACGGAATACAGTGAAAGTGGCTTAAGGACGCTGGTAACGCACTCCTTTTGGGCAATTATCGACGAAGGATGAACCGACGACGCCCCCAATGTAACTTGCTGGTCGAAACACGAAAATGGACAAGTAAGTATTCAATTACTACCTTATTCATATGAATTTGTACCATGGAAACAGTTTTGGACATGTCTTGTTACATCAGACTGAATCCATGATGCATATTACATATTTATACCAAAAAAACTGCTGCTGCTTCAAAATAATTCAAATTTAACGCCAGATAATCGAACATTTGTTCTTTTTGTAGGAACTAGAAGTTCTTTAGTACAGTCTAATAAACATGCGAAAAGAACTAGATCGTGCACCCCTTCGCTTGGTACGTATTATTCAACCCTCCTTACATTTTCACTTTTTAATTCTTTTAAACAGCTCACCCCTTGAGTCAACACCCTCAATTACCGTCTTCACTTTCGGAGTCTTCCTTGGCAAGAAGAACTCAATGACTAAATAGTAGTAACAAATCAAATCAGTCATCGCATCGTTCAGACATTCGCTCCCATTTAAAAAAAAATTATTACTTTTAATCAATCGAGTACTTATCATTTTATCATCAACAGGAATACAATTAATAATAATAATAATAATATAGCGTACACATATCACACGACTCAGAAGACAATTACTGAATTAAATCCACAAAACAAAAGCGCACCCACAATTAATTTTATAACAATATGCAGAACAATATATAATTAACAGGTCTGCATGTCTGCTACTTATCGCGATTATCTTCAACATCACATTAGTTCCTGACTCAAATTGCTTTTATCGATTACAGACAGCAAATTAACATGTCGAAATTGATTTGCCCTTAATCTAATTATCGGCAAAATCCATTCTGTCCATTTAGTATTATAATCCACGATGACGAAGAAGATTATTACAAAATTAACGGAAAAACATTACATAAACTCCTATTAACAAAAAAGGAAGACTTAATAAAAAAATGCAGGGTACATTATGCGATATATAATGTACTTAACTAATTTTTACAACCCCTTTACAGCAACGGAATTGAAATTCAACTACTTAAGAACCTGAATCTTTACGACAACTTATTGTTACATTAATTTTCTACAACCATAGGAACATAATGTTCCTCTATTTAACTTCTCAGTGTGTTGAATATTCAAAATTGTTCCATAAAAAATAGTCCAACTTGAAATGATACCAATTTAGTATGTGTGTTATATGTATCTATACGATTTTGATTGGCACAAAGTATTATTTAATATATAGATAAATATATATATATAGATATATATAGATAAAGGTCAAAATTGACGTGACAAGAATGGCTAATAAATAATTTTTGTGGCAAATTACTTCCCTAAATGCCATGTAGCGTGCTTCTGTTTCTTAAGCTTTTATGTCAAAGTTTCATATTCATTCTAAACCAAAAAAAGCACAGTCTTGTTCATGGAAAATGGACAGAGATGTAGACAACCCAGAACCATATTACACCATGTATGTAGTTACAAAGTTGGATAGAAGATAATAAACAACTTACAGGGAAAAGTATTATATTAGTTCCTAAACTGACGGTTGCTACCACCCCATCCAAAATCAATGAACAGTATGGTACTGTATACCTCAATTATTTATTTATTATTTAATCAATAGTAATGGAAACCACAACAATTGTACCTAACATACAAAAGCCTCAAACGTTACAGGTAATTATTAATATTTGCAGATTAAAAAAAGACAATAAAATATAATAAACAACAGTATTAAAACTATACTTTCTACTTATGTACGCATAATAAAATGTAAATTTATATTATACGTTATTAACATGAAAATATAAACAGTCAATAATTTATATTTTATAAATGAAGGTCAAGTTTTAAATGGAGCTGTAATATTTTACCATTACCAAAGTATTTATTTTAAAACCATGTTAAAGATTTATAATGATCTACTTACTTACTATGTAAGAACGAAACGTTCCTATTATAAAAAAAAATGGTTGCATTGTATAATGTACAAAATATAAAACAGAACAGTATCAAGGTACACACAGTACTGCATAATGTTTGTATACTTACACATTTTCCGAACATACATTAAAGGAAAATCGCGTTAACAATATAAAACTACAATAAAGATGCTGCCTGATGTTATATCTGTTTGTCAAAACAGACGGATAAGCTTGTTGATCTCTGTTGATTCAATTGTAATTGTTTAACTAATAACTAACCGTCTCAAGAAAAGTACAATTGGCTTTCTGAAGTTTTTATCGATAAGAAAAATATACCATCAATTCATTGGCTTTTGATTGATTTTGATTCACGTAAGACATTTTCGAGAAGCAAAATAAACCTAGCCCAACCGAACCTGACTGCTTCCAGAGAAACATTGTCGTAAAACTGCTAGATAAATGTTTGTCTAACGTTTTGTCATTCCTGCGCTCATCATCTAGAAATATTAGTTACCATTTAAACGTATTTTATTTATATCAAAAATATGTCGAAAGACTTATCGTTAGATAGAAATTAGGTGATCATTATATTGTAGATGAATATTTTCATCTGATACTATACTTATTATATTTATAGTGAAATAGACTGTACTTATTTACAAGAAAATGTGGATAATATAATTGTTAGAATAATGACAATAGTTTGTTGTTAAAGCACATAATAAGTGATTGTATTACCTATATTGTTTATCTTGGCGGAATTAATTGAGGCCTAACAACATTTGAAACTCTTTATTTATATTCATTTTCATTAATTTTTCATTTTCCATTATTGACAGTGATAGAAATAGGCATGAGGGGAGAGGGTCAGCCACTTAAAGTAATTATTTCCTTAACTAATTTAAGATTTCCGATATTGATCGTATTATTTTCGATAATAATGATTTTTTTCAGTTCTAACGAACTTAGCATGAGCCTGGTGTTCTTTAAATCTAACTTGTATAGAGCATTTAGTTTGTCCAATATATTTTTTACTGTAATCTTTACAATCAATTTCGTACATGTCCGGCTTTTCTAAAAGGAATTCTATCCTTAGGGTTACCAAGAGGAGTTTAAAGTAAGTTCAAATTTTAACCAAAAGCAATTTGGAAACCGTATTTACGAAAAATACCATCAAATTCTCGAATATTTGTATGACATAGTAATAAACTTGGTTTTCATGGTATCTTTTTGCAAAGTTGAAGATCTTGAAATGAGATGGTTAATTTTTATCTTGTTGACTGTTTTATCAGTAATAGTACCTACAATTCTAGTCATAGCCAAAAGCGGTCACTGAAGAAGAACATTGTTACCGAAAATGGCATTTAATTTGGTGTTTAACAACCTCAAATAATTCCGCAACATAAAATATTATAAATATGTTGTAAAAGTAGGACTGATACTGCTACTATTAACTAACATACAAGAGTGTTATATTGAAAAAAATCCAGGACTTAAGTTCATAACTAATGCAGGTATTGTGTATATATGTCGCAGGGTAGCAATAGAATTCGTTTTTTCTATTAAATACTATCAATAAGTTCCGAAAACAAGACATTCATGAAGATAAATAAGACAAACGCCAGAAGCAATTTTATAGTATTTATTAAAAAGTTTTAGTAACAATTTTGGTAGAGGCGCCGGAACAACTTAAAACAAAGACTATAATAGAGCTATAATTCCGGTTTCATTAAAGAACTTTCATCCCTAAATTGTATTTTATTATATTATTGTATGTAAATACAGTTGGGGATGCTAATTTATATTCTTTTTTTACAAATAAGCTACGATTTGTAATATAATATGTAGACAACCCAATATACAGCAAATATATAACCCTAGTAATGTAACTACACCGAAAATCAGAAAACTTCTTAGTAATATTTTTGAAAATATCTTACCATTACTCATATTTATAACATTACAGAACTGTACAACCCCTAAAAGGATATATATTGCAGGTGAATCTAGATTTATAATAAATACTTAAAATTAACCACGTGAATTTAATAGAATATGTATAGAGTTCATTATTTGTTGACGCAAGTTTTATTACATATTACCCTGCGACATCTATCTACATTTAAAATTTATATTTACAAATGTTGATTTTGTGTTTTGATAGTATATGTATTATCGTACGTAAGTACTTGTATGAGTTGTTCATGAGTCTATTTTGTATTCGATGTACCGTAATAAGTAATACGCATTTCATATAGACTGAATTTTGTTACTTACTCGATAAACCACTGTAACATGCTGTCCAAGAGTAATAAAGTTTTTAAACGACTGAGAAATTTGTGTTTCTGTAATTTCATACAACGCTTCTAGATCCTGGAGGCGCCGATACGGGGTAATTTATTTGTTTTTTTGTCGTCCAGGTGTTTAAGGAATTACTGAAAGGTCAGATACCACAATAAATATACTTAGAGCCCTTATCTGTAATTCTGGGATTTATTGGAGCAATAGTAATTAAGAAGGGCAAAAAAAATGCTACATAAATACTTTACTATAGATCAAAATTGTAACGCAAAAGGTCAGGGACGGCTTTATAACTTCCTTGTTGGAATTATATCTTAAATTCCTGAGAATGTTGAACTTTCTTTAAAGAACGATTTTAGGGCCATTTTAGGACATACCGGGAAGATAGTTCAAAATAAATTATGTCCAGTCGTACTGGTTTACAAATGATTACCATCAATTCTGTATAAACATTGTACCGATTCCTTTTTTCTTGTATGAAAACGAAACGATAAAAATAAGGCATTAACATAGTAGATAAACATGGAGATAATAAAAACAAAATATAAATATTAAAGGAAGTTTGTTCAGTGTTTCACCCCCATTACAAATTGTTTTGTGTCTCGTCTATTTCAGAATGCGACCAAACATTTGTAAGTCGTCAAGGGGGCCCTTTAAATGGTACTTTCCACGCTCCCGAATTCGTCAACCCCAAGGGACACTCTCGCCAGTGCGTTTATGTATTTATTGCAGGACCTGGACAAAGGGCTGAAGTTGTATTTACACATTTCCAACTTCGCGGCACCCCACCGGAGTAAGCAAACATTTTTATATTTTTATGTGGATGGCGTAAATAATTTAACAGTACATTTATATTTAATTTTGTCAAGGAAGGTATACAGGGTGACAGAAAATTGCTCATTTTCCCCTCTGGGAGAAGAAACTGTCATTAATTTGAAATGATTTAACCTCAATCACTCCGAGGGTCGAAAGTGCGTCATTAGTTTTTTACAAAAATCCGAATTTTTTCACTTTTTGACCTGAATTTTTCCATGTTCTGGTAGCTCCAAGTGATAGAGGTTGCATCATTCCAAATTCCTGTAACCCTATAGTTCTAGACCAACAACCCTAACGTAGGTAGCATAATATGTTAAGGGCCTACCCTCGATAATGAAATTCCTTTCCGATAATCACCCTATTTCTCGTACTTAATGTCATATATTTGAAGTACCTACAAGATATGAGTAATAAAGGTAACGCAACCTATAAGAGAATGCCAAAATAATTTACTCAAAGGAAGAGCTCTAGTGTCCCTGGAAAGGAATGAGATGAACCGAAGCATTTGTCATTTAATCTATAATTCACTTATTAAGGGACGGTCCCTTCTACTTTAATATCCTTAGGTGGAAGTCCTGTTAGTTACCTATTACCAGATATTTTCATTTAATACTGAATTTATTTAGAGCAATCTTTATCATTTAATAAAGTCATTTTTTGAAAACAACATTATAAAGTACAAATAGATTAAGCAAGTACAGCAAATAGATAAATAATTATGAATTTCGTGAGACATTTACAGACTTACAAAACTAACATTATTTATTCGTTTCTTTGTGAAACTAGTAACTGTGTGTATTTTGCAATTTATGCATTCGATGTGTCGATTATGTTGTTACATTTGAATAATTGCTTGCATGAAGTTCATATATGTTAGTCTAGTGAATTTTGATTGTATTTTTTGTTACTCTATAGTGGGGCAGCCGTGGGAAACCTCCCCGCGTGAGTACTTTCAAAAAAAGCTCTCTCTTCATTCTCTCAAAGCACTACCTGTCTTCTCTCGAAAACTTTTTGCTATGTACCCATCTAATTATGAAACTAAAGTTAATTCTAACCGTATCAATACTTATTAAAAGTTGTATTTCGAATTTTGCATGTTGAGCATGGTTTCTTACCCAAGCCCAGAATTCACATTTTATTCACTACCTCTTACGTACTTCGCAAACGTTGGGCTACTTACCTAGTAACAATAAATAAGTCATAAAATGCATGAAAGCGAACTGAAACTGCTCTTTTTCCTTTACTTGTTTTCTTTTCTCTTCAAATATCTCTTTATCTGCGTGCACCGTTCTTGCAATTGCAGGAAGCTTATGTATTTCTATTCTCTACTTACTACATACATATGTACATGAGTTCTTAAGTGTCAATTCAAACCTTTAAGTGATTTCTTTCGAGCATTTTTAGCCACTAAAAACTCGCACTACGATACAACACTCTATACATATATCAAATAACGGAAATTCTAAAACCCACAGGTTTTGTTTGAACAAAGGTCTCAGATTTTTGAACTGTTAAGGCATTTTATTATGTATGTACCTAGATACTATACCATACTGACAAAACAGTACTGTATGAATGTAAATAAAAGTAAAACAAAAATACTGGTATGCAAGAGAAGAAAAAGTAGGGAAAGAGCGAATATAAAGATACGAGACGAAAAATTAGAAGAAGTGGCTGATTTTAGGTATCTAGAAAGTCAAATAAGTCAAAACGGAAGGGGTAGTAGGGATATAAAGCAGGGTCGTGTAGCCTTCAATAAAAAGAAGTCATTTCTATGCTCGGGAACGGTTAATTTAGAAATTCTTAAAGGTGTATGTTTGGAGCGCGACGCTATACGGGTGCGAAACATGGACAGTGGGCGCGGCAGAAAAGAAAGGGTTAGAAGCGTTGGAAATGTGGTGTTATAGGGGAATGATGAGGATATCGTGGAAAGAAATGAAGAGGTTTTAGAAAGAATAGGAGAACAGAAGGCTCTATGGAAGTCAATGAGAAAAAGGCGAGATAGGTT